CCCCCCCCTCGCTCCGTCTTGCACCAAAGGGCTCCCATTGCTGAACTCTTGCGAGATTTTTTTTCTCCCGCGGTGACGAAAAAGCTGCTTTCCTCCAGCAACTGGAAGTCCCAACCTCGCCGGCTCCTCGCAACAACACCGGATGGCAAAGCGTACAGGACATGTTGCACTTTAGTGTCAGGGTTTATTCCCCCTCCCAGCCCCCCTGCCCCCCCCCCCCCCCCCCAGGTTTTTTGTGTGTCCTGTTTGATGCCATAACATTTCCCCCTTCCTCCCTCCCTTCCTTCCTTCCTTCCTTCCTTCCTGGCTTCCTTCCTTCCTTCCTTCCTTCCTTCCTTCCTTCCTTCCTTCCTTCCTGGCTTGGGCTAGCAAGCGCCTGTGTGTTTCCTGCGCTGCTGCTGCTGCTGCTAAGAGTTTAGTCTGTTTTCTTTCTGTGAAGGAAGTTCAGCCGTCCCACCTCGGGGCTGCTGCTGCTGGAGGGCTCTCTGGGGCGGGGGAGAGGGGGGGGTCGCTTGTCCAGGAGCCCCAAATTCTGCTCAAGTCTTCACACTAACAGCACGGGAGGCAGGCAATGCGGGGGCTGCAATTCCAGCATCAGGGAGGGGAGGTTCCCTGAGCCCAGGAGAACGATCTGTCGGGGGGAGCAAAGAATTTTTATTAATATGGCGGTCACTTCCGATGACTTGAAGGTCAGCCTTAGGCTGCTGTCCTCAGTCCTTGAAGCCAGGTGGCCAGGTATGAGGAAGGTGGAGCCGTTCTCGGCTCTTGGTCCGGTTAGTCCAGGAGCGTCCAACTCCTTGGCGACCCTGAGACTCGTGGGCTTCAGCTCCCAGGATCCCCCAACCAGCCATGCTGGGCTTGGAAGCCCACGGGTCTTAAAAGTTGCCATGGTGGGACCCCCGTGGATTAGGCCGAGCCGTTTCCTGGTGAACAAGGCTGGAGCTGCCAAGTTGGCACCCCACGTGGGAAGCCGGAAGGTGGTTCTGCCCCAGGCGGGCGGGGAGGTTGGGCGGCATAATCAGTCCTGCTCTCTCCGCTCTGTGAAGCGCCTGGCCGCTAATCCCCGTGCCTGAGCCTGCCAGCCCCACCTCCTCTGTCCACCTCCCACGATTGCATTGCCTGTCCTACCTGCACGAGAAGGTAACGCCCCCACCAACCGAGAGCAGCGCTTTCGGGGAAATCAAGCTGGGATTCTCCTACTCTGGAAGTAGAGACACCCATTTTCCCTGCGGATCTGGGTCTGAACGCCTGCTGACCTAGCGCTCTCTGGGAAGGGGGTTCTTTCCTGAGGCGCCCTCCTTCCCGCCTTCTGCAGCAGAGAGTGAGCAGAGTTGGCCCCACTGGCGCTTGGTTGCAGTGAGCCACAGCAAGGGACCCCGGGTGGCTTTAAAGCAGGTTGCGCGTCTCCTCCTGTTCATCGTGTGGCTGCGGCCGCTGGCTGGGGAGTTGAGGGGACTGTTGGGAGAAGGGATCCCGCTTTCTCGCCTCGCGTACCTGCACGGGGAAGTGAAGCAGAACACCTAACGCGGCGCCTCCCCACCTTGGCCGCTTGAAGATGCGTGGACTTCAAGTCCCGGAATTCTGGCTGGCTGGGGAATGCAGGGAGCCGAAGTCCACACACCTTCAAGCGGCCAAGGTGGAGAAGCGCTGTCCTAACCTCAGTGGCAGGTCCTGAAATAGCCGGACCGGCAGCTTATGGCCGGTGTCGGGTTTGGTATCTCAGAATACGTTCAGCGGTTTCTGCTTTGCTTTGTGCAGAGTGTGGCCAGTTTGGAGTTTTGTCTGAATCAAAGCGGCCAGTTTTGCCCTCCGGTGATCTGAACCTCCCGCCGGGGCTTTAGCAAAAGTGGCCATTGGGGGTCTTTGCCCGGCAGCCCAACCCAGCTCAGCCTCAGGGAATCCCAGGACTTGGAGCAAAAGCGAAATTTCTGCTCTTTCGAGTTTTTCCTTCCGCGCTGGGGGTGGCTGGCTTGGCCGGAAGGGCGACGGCTCCTGTGTCCCCTTTTTAGTTTTGAACGTTTGGCTCGAGGGTTGTTTTCTCAAGGCCGGGTCAGCCTGCGCTGAGAAGTCAGAAGGAGCTCGTTAGCTCGCCTGCTGCTTTTGTTTTTATTCGATTTTATTTTATTTTCTCTCTGCCTCCCCCTGAAGCCTTTCCCGCCAGGAGGGACAAGAGGACGCGTAGGTGGCTTTCCCAAAGCGCCTGGGCGACCCTGATAGACCCGCGGCCTTATCTGGTCCTCGCACCTGTTGTTTCAGTGCTGGCTGCCTCTCTCCCCGGGAACTGCACCAACATCGGCGTCCCCCGAGGCTTAGTGTTCTTGGAACCGCGTGCAGAAAGTTGAGCAGAGAGGGCTCTCTGCACATGCTCTTTCCTTTCCCTGTGGGTCTCCCCCCCCCCACCTCCCCCCGTGGGTTGACTTGGTTGCAAGAGGCAGGCTGAGGGTTGGAGGGAACACTCCCCGTCGTGCGAGTCGGAGGCCCTTCCAAGGAGAACCAAAATCCTTGTGTCAGAGGGGCCTCCCCTGCAAAGGACCCTGCCTTAGCCTGTCAATCATACCCAAACTGTTGCCGAAAGCTGGGATTGGCACCGCTGGGGTCTCTTTTCCAGCAGATTCTGGCTGGTTTCGCTTTTCCCAGGGGGTGTCGCACCTGCGTCAGGAGCTGGGACTTTTTATTTGCTTTAAAATGCACCTGGGTTTTCCCTGCACCGCCCGTCTCCTTCCAAGCACACACTTTAAAATAAAGTTCTGGCTGACTTTTTGTGTTTTTTAAAATAAATAAATAAAAATCTAATTGTTTTGTTACAAATAAAATAAGTGGCAATATTTTTTTCGGTAATTTTTCATAGGAAAAAAGTGTGATTTGTAAACAAATTGTACAGTTCTGAAGTTTGGGATACATAAAATAACTGTACTGAGTGGCACGCTGTAAATGGGGGGGGGGGGCGGGAGAGATTATTTTCCATACAGTGTATTTGGGAAGAAATCTTTTAATTCGGGTTGATTTAGGAAGAAATATAGTTCCCTGTCAAGGGTTTGAATTTTTTTTTTTTCTTGTATAGAATGCTGCATTTAACTAAATAAAAGCTGAAAGCATCACTTGATTGACTTCGGTGTTTGGATCCGTGTATTTTTTAAAAAGAAAAACCTTCGTGCAGTGCCAGTTCAACACTTGTTAGGCCTGGGATGTTTTAGATGCGTTTCCTATGTTAACCGTAAGCCTTAATTACAATAGCAAAAAGAAATACAAACTGAGAGGAGACTGGCAAGAAAGAATGAAAAGTGGAAAAAAGAAAAACACGATAAAGGAAGTGACTGCCAACCTTCATCACAAGAAGTATAAACAAATTTAATAACTCTTCACCCCCTGTAAGGTTAAACAGATATCTCTCCACCCCATATTCTATCCCGCATCTACAAGCGAATCTAAACAACTTTTCAATCCTGGAGTCAGCAAAAAGTCCATCAAGGGTTTCCAGAATAAATTTTTTCTTTTCGTCTTGATCAAATAGACTTTCTACTCCTTCCTTTTACTTCTAACAGTCTCCTTTAATTCAATCAAATATTCTTTTGTAGGATTTGATTTCTCCTTTTTCTTGGAGAAGCACAGATCTCTTCATGGCTTTATAACAAGCCTCTTCGTAGGTCCAATTAGTAAAATATTTTCCAGGTCATTCTCTTGGCTTATCATTCATATCCCCCCTTTAACATTTAAAACTTCATCCAGTTTCCTTCGTATATCCAGTAAAGCATCTTCCAAATCCTCTTGGCCGGCTGTTTGACGCTTTGCTTTTGGTACTTTCTCTGCCTTGTCAAATAAAATCTCCCAGCCTTCCTGATTTTGCAACAAGGGCGAGACCGTTTCTTGAAATCGGGACCTGAATGGCCAGGCAGCCCTCAGATTTTTGCATTATTCTCCTAACCCACAAGGTGGTGCAGGATGCCAGGCTAAAGGCTGGAAAGGAAGCGAAGAATGGGACGATGTGGAACAGTCATTGTGCAAGTCAGGAAAAGGCTGAGGGCAGTTTTGCTTCGTAGATCCAGCGTCCCAATCTTGATCCTACGGGGAAGAGACCGATTTGAACGTTGGGAGGATGATGAAGGCTGGATTCAGTAGCCCAAATGGGCAGGAAACAATTTTCTAAATACCCCCATGAAACGTGGAAGGGAAAGATCCCTTTCCCCTCCACTAGTGCCAGACACTTGGAGAAGGGAAATCTGGCATCCCACAGGGGGCTGAGCTTCCAAACGACGGGGGTGGGTGGGGGTGGGGGCGAATGAGAATCCTGCCCCTGTGACTAATACAATTAATTTTGCAGGAAAAGCGAAGCTGTCGCTATATTTAACTTGCCAGAGAAAGTTTATGTACAGAACTATTTCTATTCCGCCTTTGGTCCCCAAACAGATGTCCCTTTTATCTTTCTTTGGTGAGAGTACGGTAGACCAGTATTTCACAGCCTCCCCACACTCCCTTCTATGGTGCCGGAAACCACTTAGAAATCATTAAAAAAAGAGAGAGTTTGAAATTTTAACCTGGGCAGGCACAGCCCCTCCCTTAAATTTTCCAGAGTGCCAGTTTACTGTCCCCGTTCACCGCTTCCTGGCACATTTCTCCACCTGGGAAGGAAGACAGAGCACCTCACCCCCACGGGTGCCCTTGCCCACCTGGTCCCTGGTCTTCTGCCAATGTGGCCTCTCTCCAAATGAGGTCCTGAAGGTGCCTGGCTATTAGGGGTGAGCCTCCTCGGGGTGAGGCCTCACATGACTGGGGCTCCCTCCTCTTTTCGCAGGCTGGCCCCCCCTCTCCCCGTCATTCTGCCCCGCTTACGCCAGGCACCCATGCCCTAGGAAGTCTTTGCCAACCGAAGCAGAGGAGCACAGAGGAGCAATTGTCAGCCAGTGTCTCCCAGCTGCAGAGGAATAAACGTCGCTTTGACACGTGCAGCTGAAGCTGCTTCCGAGGCAGAGCCAACAGGCTGGACCTCTGAAGACCCCTCAGCGCAGGATCCCTGGGGGCGAATTCGCCCCTCTCCCGGACTCCGTTTAAGGATAGACAATCAGAACAGAGCTGGAAGAGGCCTTTCGGATCATCTTGTCCAGCCCCCCGCCCAAGCAGGAGGCCCTCTCCCATTTCAGACCAGTGGCTGTCCAGTCTCTTTCTTAAAAGCCTCCAGCGATGGAGCAGCCACAACTTCTAGTGGCAAGCTGTTCCACTGGTTAATTGTCCTCACTGTTAGGAAGTTTCCCCTTAATTTCAGGTTGCTTCTCTCCTGGATGTGTTTCCATCCTTGAGGCCTCGATATGCTCCTAAGCAGCAGCAGCAGTCCCGTTTTCTCCCCCCCCACCCCCCGCCTGCCAACCCTCCTAGCCCCAATGTGGTCCCCCGTCACAAGCTGTGAGTACCAGCCTTTCCCGGCAGGTCGCTGTCCTCATCTCTCTCTCTCTCTCTCTCTCCCGTTTGTTCCCCTCCGCGGTGACTTCAATGCTGTGTTGACATTCTCCAAACTGTTGACTAGGCAGCCGCATGGCACTGAATCATACGCAAGAGGCTTGTTTTGTACCCAGAATTGCACATCTGGTTGGGTAGGTGGCTGGGAGATGGGTTCAAGAAAGGAAAACAGTGGTGTAAACAGACCTTGGCCAGGGAGGAAAGGCAGACCTGGGTAAACAGGAGCCGGAAGCAAACGCAAGCGGCCATCTGCCGGTGTTGCAACAGAGTGAAAACCCGGGACGACGATGCAGGCTTCCTTCAACCTCTGTGGCATCTTCTCTGCCTTTTTAAATGCGCTGTTTTAGGGGTGCGGATGTGTTGGCTGCTTGTCCTACCTTTGCCTGATTCCCGGCAAAGTGGGGTTTGCACCACTGGGAGAGAAGAGCCAAAGACGGTCACAAAGACAAAAATACTTTCCACAACCTGCTGTGCTCTCGGCTTCCTTGCCTCGCGTCCTGGTCCCTCCTTGCCTCTTCCGCAGGGACGGCCTTTTGCGCTCCAGGTGAAGGTTCCAAGATGGCCTTGCTTGCTTGCGCAACCCAACCGGCAGCCCGCCTGGATCTGAAGCGTGTCGTTGTTGTTAAACTGGTTGCCTGCAAATCTGGCCCAGTGAATGAATCATCCCTTCCCCAGCACGTTAGCTGCTCGGTTAATTACAAACAGCCCTTGTTTTTGACGGGACTTGGGGAGGGGGATTCGGCAGAGATCCCGGGGGAGAGGAGAGCCTTATATGAGGGGTGGCTGACTATGTCAACTTTAGGACCCGTGGACTTCCAATTCCCAGAATTCCCGAGCCAGCATGGATTCTGGGAGTTGAAATGCACAGGTCGCAAAATTGCGATGGTTGCCTCCCCCGCCTTATGTGGTACCCCAGCCCCCCCCCTTTTCCCCTGTTAAAGTCCTTGATCTTTGGGTGCAAAAGGCAAACTCGAGACTAGAACAACAAACCACACCCCACAGCACCAAACCACACATCCAGCTCTTCCTTTTCCATCCTGCCAAATAAAACCAAGCCGACTTATCTCGCATATCAAATAAAAGAGCCCAACGCGTGTTCTTGGCAAGGCCTCATTAACCCCAATGGCACAAAAGGTAGCAACTTTAGTGATCCAGCTTTCCAGGGGGTGTTCAGGCACCCTCCACACACACAAAGCTGCTTGTTAGTGAATCCAGATGTTGGACCAACTCACCAAGTCTTGTCAACTCTCTCCCCAGCCCCGGCCTGCCAAAGACACCAGTTGTGTTGCACAACTTGCCAAGTCCTTCTTTGACCACAATTTATTGAACTGGGCACAGCTGGCAGGTTTCACACAGCCTGCTAAGCCAGAAGTAAACCGGGTTGGAAGTTCAGGGGTGTTGTGTGAACTCAGCCCGAAAGGTGGGATGCTTACTTGGGCTGCTGCAGAAATCAAAGAAGATCAATTATATTTCGGTGTCCAATGCTTGCTATTTTCTTCATAGTCAGTTTGCAGCCAGACATTCTCTCTGCCCTTCTCATCAACTCATGTGAAGCAATTCTCCCTCGTTTTCAAGCGATCACATCCTTCCTAAGAAGCCAAGACACTATCTTGTTCTAGACTTTTGACTACAATAACTTACGCTGCTTACAAAGTGATTCCCACAAAGTGTCCCTTTTATTCCTAAGCCTCCCCTGTAATTTACTAGGCTTACAAAGAGATGATTTACACCAGGTGTAGACGTGGCCTATTGTACAGAACCAAGCACCAGATGCTGGCTTGTCTGCAAAGGCAAATGTTCCTAATTATACTTTTTCCACTGCAGTGCAATTTAAATTCCTGCCCTTGGAACGGTGGCTCTGCTGGTGCCAAGGTCCTAGAGAAAAGCTACAGCAATGTTTGGAAAAGCAGAGTCGCTCCCACGACGCGGGAATGTCATTCTTAGTTTAGTGAATCCAGGATAGAAGATGGCCAGGAGAAGAGACTGAAAGAATGTGGAAATACATTGGGAACTATTGGAAGAAACCTGGTTCAACGGATGTGCAACATGACAATATCTGGAAAATGGTGGTAGTTGTGAGATGATGCTTAATGACAGTGGGTGAAAAGGTTGAAAACCTAAGTAACGGTTGTATTTGCAAATGATCTGAGACTGCAGCATTTCACAAATAGACGGTGTGATTTGCTCTCGAAACATATTCTGGGTGTTATCAAGCTTGCCCAAAGTCTGAAGCCATGATGGCCACTTCGAAAACTCTGACACTGAAACCCCGCTCCTTTGCTCGTGTTTTGCATTTGGGACAGATTCCTGTTCGGGTGGGGAGGGGGAGTACAACTCCTTAGCATCGGAGCATGTTAACAACAACAACAGCAACAATAACAACAACAACAATAATAATAATAATAATAATATGCTAATGCTCTGATGGTCATTTGGAAAAACCCTTTCTTAGTGAGCACCTAGAAGCCAAGAGGAAGATACGTGGCAAATTTCAAGTTCGTAGGCGTTACGGTTCTGGAGATTTTGTGATGATGCGCGAGGGGCTCTCTAAATCCCGCATTCATTGGCCAAATTCCTCCAAGCTCATTCATCTTCAGGAGCCTTAAAAGCAAAAAGGCAGGAAAGATTGATTTATTTTATTTATTTTTTGTCGTTTGCTTACAAGATAATAGGTATAAGTAAAAACAAAGTTATCAATACATGGATACATATAAGAAAAATAAAAGAAATAAAAGAAACAATGGGACAGGAATGGTAGGCACGTTGGTGCGCTTATGCATGCCAACATATTATTATGCTTAATAAAACCTTCCGCTACTAACCAGATAGAAAAGTGGGGGGAAAGGGATCATCAGTGTTTGGAGTCACAGATCACATGGGAAGGAAATGAAATGCCTACAGGTTTTGTGGGGAAAGAAAGTCAGCTGCTGCCAAGGCGTGGGGGATTAATCAAAGGAAATCGCCCCTGGCTGAACCTGTTTTCCACTTGCGGCCCAGATCCTTTAAAGGTAAACTGTGGTTGGTTTGAAGGAAAACTGGCTTGCCCAGCCGAAAAAAAAATGAAGACGGCTATGGACAGCTGCCAATTCATTACGCTGATGTGTTTCCTCTGGAAAGCTAAAGCAGAATATTCTGCCATCCATGTTGGCTAGTCCAGTGGGAAACCTGGCCAGCCAAGAATGGCCAATTTCCTCCCTCTTTTCTCACCCTCTAGAAACAGACTGGATCAAGGGCAGTTTTACTCTCAGGCCCCTAAACATCTACATGTCAGAATAAAAGAAGTTGAATCCTGCAAATTTCATTTTGGCTGGATGTTTTCCCGAATGTCTGTCCAGCGAGAAGAGCACCACTCCAGCTTGCGAGTTTGACGGAAGACGTGTGTGGTGCGGTGCCAGAACGAAACCAACCCATATTATGTGGGAACTGGAGGCTGCAGCTATGTTTGAGATGCTATTGGAAGGTCCTGCACATTCTTTGCTCCCACGCAGAAGCGTTTTAATTTTGCCACATTCCTTTTTCCTTACAGCCTAATGATGCTTACACAGTGCTTGTAAATAGGCATTGGGATCTTAGAGGGAGGATTATTGATTGGGAAATTTAAAAAAGGACTCTGCAGGATGCAGTGTTGGTGGACTTCAACTCCCAGAATTCCCCAGCCAGCATGGCGAGTTGAAGTCCACCAATCTTAAAAGTTATCAAGATTGAGAAATTATCCATCATTCATCCATCATTCATCTCTTATTCTCTCACTTTTTTTCTCTTTCTCTCATTCTCTTTCTCTCTCAATTTCTTTCTCTCTTTTTCTCTCTCTCTCATTTCCCCTCCTCTCTCTCCCCTCTCTCACCTGGGCAACTTTAAGGTAGGTGGACTTCAACTCCCAGAATTCCACAGCTAGCATGGGGAGTTCTGGGAGTTGAAGTCCACCCATCTTAAAGATGCCAAGATTGAGGAACTCTGGACTAGAAGCTTAATATCCGGAGTGGGCCTGTCCAAAAAGGAATTCATGTCCCCTCTTTCCTTAATGCACACACACCTTTGACCTCCGAGGTCCCTTCCATTCTGGGAGTTGAAGTCCTCCAAGTTTAAAGTTGCCAAGGTTGGAGACCCCTGTTCTAAAGGACAGCAGCGAGGAGGGGGCCTCCGCCCAGCTGAAACCGGCCGTCTCGATCCTCCCTTAGGAGCCCAGAGCAAAGGCCTCTCCTCAAGGCACCCATCCAGATGTGCAGCTGGCAAAGCCGGGCAGAGGAAGCAACTTCGTTGCTGCTGCCGCCCTTGCAGGGTCTCTTTTCCGAGAGAGGCTCCGGGGAAGTTGGCCTTCGACCAGCTTCTCCTGCGAAGCACACCTGGGCAGTTGGGGGGCCTTGTCACTCGCAGGGGCGCAGTTCCCGGGGAGGCTCAGCCACCCGTCCCCGTTTCCCGGCTGGTCGTGCCAGGAAGAAGACCAAACTGCCGTTGGGGGGGAGCGGACCCCAAGCCCGCAGGGGGAGGGGAGGTTCGGGGGGGTCCTGCGCCCACCTTCTCCAAGGAGTTTCCGAGCATGGTCGCTGCCTCCATCCGGCACAGCCAGACTGGAGACAAGGCAAGAGGGAAGGGGGCAGCTGCTGCTTCGGCGGCTCCGGCCTTGGGTTCTCGTTTGCAGACGTTTCACGACCCAGCTAAGTAACACCCTCAGCCTACCTCTATAGCATGATGTTCCCTGGGTCATTGAAACGTCTGCAAGGAAACCCCCTAAGCTCAGAGAGCACCAAAGACCCCCAGTCCTCCTCCTCCTCCACTCTGAACCCCCCCTCCTAGCACTGAGAATGCTACCTAGTTGGGTGCCGAAACGTCTGCAAAGCCACCCCCCCCCACCTGGAGAGCGCGCCCAGGACCCCCTCGGTTCAACCCTGCTCTAGGAAGCGTCTCCTTGTCAAGACTACATTTCCCGGCAGGCGGCGGGAGCGCAGCGCAAGGCACAGCTGGAAAGGCGGGGCGGGAGCACCTCCCCCTCCTCCTCCCCCCCCGCCCGTCTGCTACTCCGGCGGGGCGCGCGCTCCTCGGCAGCCTATTGTCTGGCCGGGGTCTCGCCTCCCGCGGGGCGCGCTGATTGGCTGGCCCGGCGTCCCTGCCCCCCCTCCCCTCCCCTCCCCAGCGGCAGGAGCCCCCCCCTCCCCCCCGCCCAGCTGCCGCCGCCGCCGCTCCTTTTTCTGCTGCTCCCGCGACCGGGGCGCATCTGCGCTCCTCGCCCTGCTGGATGCGGAGGGCGCCGCCGTCGCCGTCGCCGCCGCCGCCGCCGCCTCTGCTGCTGCTGCATGGGGGAAGCGCCGCCGCCCCCCCCGCCTGGCCGCCTCGCCCCCCGCCCGCGCCCCTCGGCAAGATGATGAAGTTTCGCTTCCGCCGCCAGGGCCACGACCCCCAGCGGGAGAAGCTCAAGCAGGACATCTACGCCTTCAACAAGGTGGGTGGGGGGGGTGTTGGGGGGGGGACGCCCCCACCCATCATCCCCGGCCTGGGCTCCCGGCCGCGCTCCCCGCTCCGGAGGGGGCGCCGGTCCTCGGGCCCCAGCATCCCCTGCCGGGCCGGGGAAGGGGAGGGGAGTGGGGCGGGGGTCCCCGCGCCTCTGGGGGGCGCCTGCTTGAAGCGGGAGGGCGGGGTCCTTTCGGCCCGGGGTCGGTTTGAGGGGTCCTTGGGCTTGAATTGGGACGGGCGGCGGGGGGGGGGGGGGGGGGGCGGGGGGGGGCCCCACCCGGGGCGGGGGGGGGGGGAGGGGGGGGGGGGGGGGGGGCGGGGCAGCCAGGCCTCCGCGGGGGGGGGGGGCTCGCCCCGGGGGGCCCGGGGCGCGGGGGGGGGGGGGGGGGGCTGAACTAGCCCCCCCCCCGAAGAAGTCGAGTTGAATTCGGCGTCCCCAGGAAGGAAGGAAGGACGGGGGGGGGCTGGGGAGAAGACCCCGAACTTCCCCCTTTGCATTGGCTTCTCCGCGCCCCCGCCCCATTTTTTTTGGCCTCTGGGGCTGCCCCTCCCTCCTTGCAAGGTTGGGAGCCCAACGGAGGGGCCGCTGAGAGAAGCGGGGTCTTTTCGGGGGGGGGTGGGCTTAAGAAGAAGGGAAAGGAGAGCCGGGCAGGCACCGGACCTGGAGGGTGGTGGGGGCGGCGGGACGGGGGGGGGACACAGCCTCCCCCAGCCCAGCCCAAGCGGGCTTTGTGTTCCTGGGTCAGCCCATCAAAAGAGCTCCGGAGCCCCCTCCGTGGGTGCGTGGTGTGTCGGCGGCGTGTACCTGCCTGGTCCAATTCCCTCCCTTCCCACGCTCGCTCCCAGCAAAGGTGTCTCTCTCTCTCTCTTTCTCTCTCTCTCTCTCTCCCTTTCTTGTTTTCCGTCCGGGGAGGGGTTGCTGGAAGCTCCTGAATTTGTTTTTTAACACCTCCTCGGTGCTCCTCCGTATGCAACAACTTTTCCCGGGGATGTTATTCTCCCTCTCCCCAAACCTCGGCCTCCCTCGGGCTCTCTGGGCTGAGAAAGGAAGAGACCCAGCATCCCCTCCCCGCGTCCCAGCCCCGCCCCCCTTTTGCAAACACACACGCGCACGCACACACACACACACCCCGCACACTATTGCTGCTTCCCAAGCCGGCCGCTCTGGGGCTTCCCTGGTCTTTTCAGCCCGTTTGGTTGGGGGGGGGGGGAGGCTGGGTATCCATTGTGAGGCTGTGGAGTTCTCCCCCTCCCCCCCTCCCCTTTCCTGGGCCATCTGCAACCCTCGTGCCCCCCCCCTTGCAGCTCCTTCTCCCTCTGAGTGAATGGAAGCAATAAAAACTCTGCAACTGTCGATGTGGGAAGGGCGGCCTTTGACAAGAATGGAGGGGGCTCTTCTGCTCCGGTCTTAAAACGTCCAGCGTCCTTCGGGGATGTTTGGGCAGGGTGGGGAGATGCTTCTCTGCCCCCCAATAGCTCATTCCTCCTCTTCCTCCTCCTCCTCCTCCTCTGAAGAGTTTTAAAGCATTTTTGGGGGTTACAAGACGGGCAAACCAATTGTTACTGGAGATGGACTTGGAAATGTTGGTGGTGGTGGGAAATCAGACCGAGGAAAGCAGCTCCTGCTCACACCCACACACCCACACACCCCCTACCACAATAGTTTGGCCACT